CTGTCTGTAACTCAGCTGCTCTAAGTCTGAAATGTTGTGGGGAGCAGACACGGGTAAAAATGGGAAAAGAAAATAGAATCACGAGAGACGTATGGAACAATGACATGGAAGAATCAGTACTTCGAAGGAACTTTCTTCCACTGCTCTTCATGGAACGCACCCATGTGCACCACTCCATCCTACCAGCTGCAGGGATTTTTTTATTTTTTTTTAAATATTACCTTAACCAACGGTGTAAACAATGGCGGCTATGAAAATATCCCTGTGAATTTCAGAAGCTGAAAAAAGAAGAGAGGAAAAAAAATAATCCTCATTTATGAAACCGAACCTGATGCCAAGTGCAGGCGGGTCACAGCGTGTTCTCTGCCGTCACCGCAGCTTCGGAGGAACCACCCCCCAGAAAGGCGGGTGCAGCTCGTTTCACTCCTCCGGGATCCAAACACCACCACTACTATTTAAACTCTTCCACTTGTTGTTATGGTTTCTGAACCCGAACCAGGAGCGACCTGTTTTCTTTCCGGACGGTGCCAAGCTCCACCGAGCCTCGCCGGTACCAAGCGGGAGGTCGCAGGCGTGACGCACGAGGGAAGGTCCCGAACGCAGCGCGGGGACGGCACCGGTGACGGCGCACAGGATGGACCGCGACCTGCTCCGCCACCGCACCAGAGCGGGCACCCAGAGGGGCCGCACCGCGCTGCACCCGTTTCTTACGGAACGAGAGCAACGGGGTGCAAAGTCTCAAACACGTGGAACGTCTGGAGGAGCTGCCACCCGTCAGCAACGAAAAATGCAACGCACCTTGCTGTGGTGGAGCTGTGCCTGATCGTACCTGCTGGAACACCAGCAAATATTTTGGTTCTATGAAACAAGGTAGCCTGCCTCTCTGTTACTCAGGATTTAAATATGCTCAGGATTTAAATATTTCATTTCAAATTTTTGTGTTGCAGCATGAGGATCTTCTTGTTCAGTTCAAAAAAAAGAAACAAAAAAAGCTGCACATCGGACAATAAACAGGCGATACTGTAGATTCCTTTCCACACCCCCTAATTTACTTTTAGGTGGAACGCTCTTCTACGGTCACAAAGTCCATTAACAAAGTCCTGTTGTTGTGGGGAGTGCTATTTCCTAAGTAACGGGTGAGACAGAAAAAAAGGTTAAGCAGACTAAATTCCACACAATTGTTTTGAAAAAAACCAATTAGTCAAAACCACCAGAGAACAGCATCTGGATGGCCTTCCAGCTTCTGCTGTGCTGCCCCAACGCACCGGGGCTTCGAATCCCTCCACCGCTCCCGTCCCGTCCCCCGAGGCTGCTTTCCTCAGGGGTTAACAGCTCTCCAAGAGCTGTCTCCTGGTTTGCTGAAAACACAACCTGGCTGTTCTACCAACATGTATGTCCGATTATTTATTTGTCTGCTGGTTTTTACCACCGGTGTGAAATCCGGATCCGCACAAGGTCACTCGCTCCAAGAGCAAGTCCGATGCAAAACGCCTGCCAGGGCCGTGCCGACGGGAGCAGGGGCAACCTGCCGCCCTCCCAGCTAGGAGCTGCAATCTGACACGCTGCCTTTCTCCTTTTCAATCCTGAAAGGATGGTTTGGAAAAACATACTTTCCTCCAAGTAAAATCTTTACTTAAATTACACGACTCCTCTGCGCAACAAGTCTTGAAACCATCTTTTCCCAACCCTGTTTTATTCTAGAAAAGGCTGGGTAGAGAGACTGAATACATCTGGAATTCAGCTTGGGAAGCGTCTTGCTCAAGACTCCTGAAATACGGCCCAAGACTGTCAGGGTTGCCAGGGTTTTCTTCTGAGACTGTTTGGGAAGAAAATCGTGAAAGGAGGGGCCGAGCGAGCGACCGCCACCCGCCCCGCGGCAGGGGGCTCGGGCATGGGGCCCACTGCCAGGCCTGAAACATCTCCAGGGAGGGAGACTCCACCACCTCTCCAGGCAACCAGGCACAACAAAAAAAGCTTTTTCTTATGTTTCAATGCAATTTCTTTTATTTCAGTGTGCCCACTGCCTCACGTCCTCCAGGAGCAACTGTTGAGCAACTCGGCCTGGTTGCCAGGTCTACCCATAGAAAAAGCAGCGAGAAGTAACAGAAATTGCCATGAGAGTTATGTTAGGCAAAAAACATTTGCTGCCACAGCAGGCAGGGTACGCACGCAGAAGAAGCAGCACCAAGAAAATCAGAAAACCTGAACAGAAGACTCAGGAAAAAGCAAATGAATTGCATATATTAAAAGTTGTATTACATATACAAGAAGTAATTTACAGCATGAAGTTCTCCTCCATCCCAGAGATTGTTTACGGAAGAATTATACAGGAAAAATGGAGGCAGTGAAGATGCAGGGAACTATGGAGTAATATGATTTATGCCACAACCTTGGGGAACAGCAATATCAGAAAAGCTTAATTACAACCAAACTATCTTGTCTGCTAAATTAAAGAACATTAAGAGCAACATAACTGGCAGATGAAATTTCACTGTGCTCCTTGTGCGGCAGCAACTTCAGTACCCTTAAATATAGCCTAATTCCGCAAACAGATTTTGCTTTCACTCCGCTGCCTGTGTGTGTACACACATTATCCTCAGGGTACCTATGTGCTACAAGGGACTTGAAGAAACTGCACATTGTTTATGCTGCTTTTAAGGTCAATGGATCAGGTAGTTTACCAAAATAAAAACCAAAAGAAAAATCTTGCTACAACTCCTCAAAATTTAGTTACGTGAAAATAAAAGAAAAAATAACATAATTACTGAAATTTCTTTTTGTGGTTTTTTTTATTCTAATTATTTTTTATTTTCCTGGGAAGGGATTTAGAGGGGAGCCAAAAAGCAGGCAGAGGATGCAACCAACCTGCATCTGTAGAGCCAAGCTTTAACAGCAGCAAAGCGTTCCGTGCGGGGAACGCTGCAGCTCTGCTCCCCGCTGACGCGTGCCCTGCGTTTCCACACGCCTCCCCCCGGCACAGCAGCTCCGAGCCGCGCTCCCACACCGCCTGCCTCCCCGTCCCTTACGGCCATCTCCACTCACACCTGCGTACCCCAGCCCAAAGCCTCCTCCTTCAGCGCCTCCACAAGACAGCCCGCAGCTGCTGCCCGTCCGCACGCCACGCAACGGCGACCACGGCAAGCTCCGCGCACCTCGGCCAGCGGTGCCACGCCACGCTTCTCCCCTCTCTGGCCAGCAATTTCCAGAAAACTCGAGGCCCAAAGGAAAGAAGCGCTTGTCAAGCTTGACTGAAACTGTTCGAAAGATTCAAATAGTGAAAGGGGAAAATATTTTCAGCAAGCAAGGCACCACGACGTATTTTATCAAGAAGTTCTAAAAAAATCTCAGCCTTCCTTCCTCACCACGAAGGCCTGGAGACCCTCACAGCACGGCCGGCTAAAACTAAGCTGAAGTGCTAAGGACGAGTGGCGCAGGGTCCGCTCGCTGCCCGCCGTCAGAATGCCACGAGAGGAGAAGGAGACGACTGCTGAGAAGAAACACCTTCCCAGCAGCTGCCCACACGCAGGCAGGGGCCTGCTGGCCAGACAGTAAGGAAAGAACGAAGGCGACGCGCTCCGGGGGGAAGGC